GGAAGGGTCAATATGATAATTTAGCAACCCTCAAAGTATGATTTTTACTTTGTATATTAAAAATTGTACTTAAAAAAATCAATAAATTGTGTACTAGTCATCTACTGATGATATTCCATGAATGCTATTTGCTTCTTGCAGGTAAAACAGAACTAGAGTTACCGTACCTGAAGTTAGAAAAACCCAGGAACACGCTTATTACGTGGACATCTATCCTATGATCTGGAAGGAGTTTAAGAAAAGGGGATATGTCACCATATTTGCTGAGGACGAACCCTCGATTAGTGCTTTCAACCTTAGATTGAATGGTTTTAAGGAATCCCCCGTGGACCATTAATATATGAGGCCATTTTGGCAGGCCATCTGGGACTCCGAACTCCGAGAAAGGAGCAAGAGATATTGCACGGGCGGTACGCCACATCATCAATTTTTATTAGAGTATCTGAAAGACTTCTACGTGAAATATCAGAATGTTTCCAAATTTTCCCTGACATTTTTGGCCGAATTGACTCATTGGGATAACAACCCTGGAGAATATTTAGATGTGGACTTTGTGAATTCTTTGAAAGTGTTCAGCAAGTTGGGATTTCTGGACAACACTTTACTGATTGTGATGGGAGACCACGGTGCTAGGTATGGGAGAATCAGGCGCACGTTACAGGGGAAAATGGAAGAGAGGCTCCCCTTCATGAGTCTTCATTTTCCTCATCGATTTAAACTCAAACATCCTCATTTAATTAAACTTCTATCAAAAAATGCTAATCGATTCACGACACCATTTGATATTTATGTAACTCTCAAGGATGTCCTTGATTCCTCAAGGTTGTATAAACCTGTGACACCGAGCAGAGGAATCAGCCTCCTTCAGGAGATTCCAGCTAATCGGAATTGTGCGTCTGCTCATATTGACCTCCAATTGTGTTCATGTTTAGTGCAGAGTAAGGTGGACCCAAACAGTGATAATATAAAAACCATGGCGGACCAACTTCTTCGTTTTATCAATGATCTGACTCTGCCATTGAGGGACTCATGTCATGAGCTGTCAATTCATAAAATAAAATCTGCAAATTTAATAAGTCCTAATGAAAAGGTATTAGGAATCATGATAAAATATTTAAATATATGGCATCACAAATTATCATGATTATATTGGGAAAAATTATTGACTAGCATTCTAAAACCTTTCAATAATATAGGGTTGTTGAACTTATATTGGTGAATATTGTCATGAGTTGGCTGTTCAAATGCACGAGCTTGCGAGTGCATTTTAACAGCCAACGAGTGCCAATATTCACCAATATAAATTCAATAACTCCTTTATTATATAGTTTAAACATTTCCACATATTTTATAATAATTATTCCAACAAAAAATCCCTCAAATTAATGATTTTTTAGTATTGGTATTCAAATTAATGTCTGTATTACGTATATGAGTATGCCTGAAACATTCCGAATACGAGCGTTCAATATCGAACGCCCCGTTGTAAACAAAAAAAGTCGTCTGGTCAAATTCTCAGAGCTAAATTAAAGAAAGGAAGTGGCATCTAGGTAAGATGAGTTCATTTTTCACACAAAAATGAAATTATTTATTAAAATAAATAATGCGTTCAATATCGCATCATTCCGATGACCCTACCGAGCGATATGATTTGCTTATTTAGGTTTTAGTGGGTCTAATACATTCTATATTTTAATCAATAATTTCATTTTTGTGTGAAAAATGATCTCATCTTACCTAGATGCCACTTCCTTTCTTTAATTTAGCTCTGAGAATTTGACCAGACGACTTTTTAGCTCATCTGAGCCGAAGGCTCAAGTGAGCTTTTCTGATCACATTTTGTCCGGTGTCCGTCTGTCCGTTTGTCTGTCTGTAAACTTTTCACATTTTCAACTTCTTCTCAAGAACCGCTGGGCCAATTTCGACCAAACTTGCCACAAAATATCCTTGGGTGAAGGGGATTCAAGTTTGTTCAAATAAAGGGCCACGCCCTAATTCCAGGGGAGATAATTGAGAATTAGTGAAAATTTGGTGGTACGTTTTGAAAATCTTCTTCTCAAGAACCACTGGGCCAGGAAAGATGAAACTCATGTAGAATCATCCTCAGGTAGTGTATATTCAAATTTATTCAAATCATGTCCCCCAGGGATAGGGCGGGGTCACAATGGCCGACCAAAGTTTTATATAGAAATATATAGGAAAATTCTTTAAAAATCTACTATTCAAAAACAGAAAAGCTTTAATCACTCATATTTATATGGAAGCATCCCAAGGTAGTGTAGATTCAAGTTTGTTCAAATCATGACCCCCGGGGGTAGGGCGGGGCCACAATGGCCGACCAAACTTTTATATAGAAATATATTGGAAAATTCTTTAAAAATCTTCATCTTAAGAACAGCTAAGCCATAATTGCTTATATTTATATGGCAGCATCCCCAGGTAGTGTAGATTCAAGTTTGTTCAAATCGTGACCCCCGGGGGTAGGGCGGGGCCACAATGGCTGACCAAAGTTTTATATAGAAATATATAGGAAAATTCTTTAAAAATCTTCTTCTCAAGAATAGCAAAGCCATAACTGCTCATATTTATATGGATGCATCCTCAGGTAGTGTAGATTCAAGTTTGTTCAAATCATGACCCTCAGGGGTAGGGCGGGGCCAAACTTTTGGATTTAAACTTTTCAATAGTAAACCAATTACTACTTTTTCCTAGCCACAATGCTCGGGTGAGCGATGTGGCCCATGGGCCTCTTGTTTTGTTTACAACGGGGCGTTCGATACTGAATGCTCGTATTCGGAATGTTTCAGGCATACTCATATACGTAATACAAAATTAGCATTCAATAAAACGTCAAGATATTGAACGCTAAAATTCTCTGGATTTTTAACAGTATTTTATTAGAGACTATTCATTAGCTATATAATAAAATATTTTTATTTGATTCCAACATCAATGAAAGAAAGTTTAAACATTTTCCAGTAAGTGGTCTCTAGAAAAAATTATGCTTGTTAAAGATGTTTCTGCAAAGTAAAAGTTCTTAAGCTTCATTCAAGTCACTCTATGCCCTTTGATTAAAATTTTATTTTAGTGGTAATGTCATTTGATTGGTTAAACAGTTTTATCCATTTTGTATAACATAACTTGCCTGTGTCACAATTTATTACGTCAAAAACATATTACTCTGCTTGATGTTAAATTTTAAAATATGCAATATTTGAAGCCATTTTCGAAGGAAACTAGAACTGTCCAAACGGGACAAAATACCCCCCGCTGGGTTTTTCAGAAGTAAGTTTTTCCATAATAAAGATATGTATCAAACACGAATTATGAAATTTTTATTCCAGTGACCTTGAACTTCCCCAAATAACCTTGGGTCAAGGTCATGAAACACCCTTGGGTCATGGGCAATCTTTCAGTGAAATGAGAACCTACCAAGTTTATCCAGAAGAAAGATATGGACCGTACTTGAATTATGAAATTTTTCTTCCAGTGACCTTGAACTTCCCCAAAATGACCTTGGGTCAAGGTCATGACACACCCTTGGGTCATGGGCAATCTTTGTGTGAAATGAGAACCTACCAAGTTTATCCATAAGAAAGATATGGACCGGACACGAATTATGAAATTTTTCTTCCAGTGACCTTGAACATTCCCAAATGACCTTGGGTCAAGGTCATGACACACTCTTGGGTCATGGGCAATCTTTGTGTGAAATGAGAACCTACCAAGTTTATCCATAAAAAATATGAATCAAACATGATTTATGAAAATTTTCTTCCAGCGACCTTGAACATTCCCAAATGACCTTGGGTCAAGATCAGGACACACTCTTGGGTCATGGGCAATCTTTGTGTGAAATGAGAACTTACCAAGTTTATCCATAAGAAAGATATGGACCGGACACGAATTATGAAAATTTTCTTCCAAAATTTTCTTCTTGGGTCATGTCTTTGTGTGAAATGAGAACCTTTATCCATAAGAACTTTCTTCCAGTGACCTTGAACTTTCCCAAATGACCTTGGGTCAAGGTCATGACACACCCTTAGGTCATGAGCAATCTTAGTGTGGAGTAGTAGATTCTAATGTCCCTCTGTAAGAAAGATATGGACCGGACACGATTGCACAGACAGACGGTCAGACAGACAGACGGACAGATGGACAAGGTGATTCCTATATACCCCCAAACTTCGTTTGTGGGGGGTATAAAAATGGAAAAATCTTTTTTATAAACTGCTTCGTGGTTTATAAAGCATAAACTGTCCCAAGTTATGTTATAACATATTTATAACAAAAGTTGAAATAAGCTTCATTCCTTAAATAATCAGATGGTCTTCTATTTCAGGTTTTGAAATTTATGAAAACAGTGGATTCTGATCAAAGAGTAGCCAACTTTTAATAGTTCAGAAATAAATATGGATGTTGCACATTACCAAATCACCATGGAAACACTTCCTAACTATGCACAATACGAGGGCACAGTGACTAAGAACTTGAAGGACAACAAATATGAAGTTTTCCACAGTATTAGTAGTTTAGATCACTGTGGCAACCAGTCTGCTTGTGTGATGAAGCAGTACCCTGATCTCAGAAAATTTTGTCACTGCAGATAATATTTATGGAGATTTGATAAGACTTTTTCACATATCATGGATTCAAAATCAAGTTAAATGTGTTCATTAAGTTGGGATAAAAGGTAACATCATGATAATTGATCCAAACTCCTGAATGTATACTTCTAGGAATGCAGGCAGCATTTACTGGCATTTGAAGTTTTGGGTTATTTTTTTATTATGACCATATAATTGGAGGTTTTGGGGAATACTTATATAGATTTTGGTGTCTTTCTGTTTTCACAGAAATGTTAATTAACTTTTGAATGCTTGGTCCTAGGGTTTAAATATTTCATGTGTATTCCTTGTGACAATAATTTAAGACCAACTTTCTTCCGATACCAATGTTTTTTTTATTGTATAACCTTAACCTTGCAGTTTTATTTATTTTGGAAACACTTAAACAAAATTTTAACTTTGTTCTGACTTTTGAACATTTGATGCTATGACTTTTACATTTCCCATATGCATGCATACGTTGTGAGATTTAAGACCTTTCTTTGGGTACCATTACCTGTTTTTGAAAAAAAATCAAACAAAAAAACCCCAAAACATTAACTTTGGTCATAACTTTAGAATGGGTAATACAGTATTCAAATTTTCATATTTCACCTGTATATTCCTTGTGATAATTTAAGACTTTTCTTTGAGTAACAATTTTTTTTACTTCATGACCTTGACATTTGACCCGCTTTGACAAACTTAAACCTTACCATGGTTCCATGCAGGGACATCAGTGATTCACAAACACATTTTGTTCAAATATTTTTCTTTCTGTGATACATTGATATAATATTTTTGTAATGTATTTCATTGCTAATTGAATTCTTGAACAGGAAAACCCAAAGTGGTGAACTTTCTGTTTAATTTGTCATGTCACTGCTCAATGTGACTGTGAATTTTATTAATTTCTTGTTCATTTCTCATGTTTCTAGATGCCTTTAATCTTAGTAATTTGTATCCATTATTAAAGATGTACAAATTTACCATTGATGAAGTGCTTAATTAATCAAGAATATTGATCAGTATTGAATATTATATGCACTCTTTTGACACAAAGTGTATTACATTAATATTTGTTATATATGCATGTATTTATATATTTTACATTTGTGGGTTTCAATTAATTGGAACAAAATACTTGATGTTGTTTTACTTAAAATTTTGTATAAAAATATTTTAAATGAATTTCTATAAAACTTTGTTGTGGTTTTCCTTCTGTACGTAGTATTAATCCCACCGGGGGACGCGGGGACCGCTCCTTCGGATGAGTCCATATAAATTAACTGAGGTCCCTTGTCGCAGTAAGAGTTGGCATGAAAAAGATCCTTCACTGCTCAATGTTCGGAGTGTAGGTCAAAATTTGCAGCTCTGCACAGGCAAATGGTGCCATATCTCCATATGAGTGAAAATTTCTCAAGAGGGACGTTAAACAACATACAATCAATCCTTCTAGTACTCCGTTTAGTACATGAAGTTTAATTTTAAACTTTTTTGCCTATGTCTCTTTAACTTGCTTGGTCAATTAGTCATAAAAATTCCATGCAATTACATGAGGTCACACTGTCAATGTATTTATTAATACATTTATATGAATCTGTATTATTGCATTTATTTTATTTTTTTATCTAGACAAAATAGAAAAATTATTTTGGCTGCAAGTAAGACAGTCTGAGGCTTGAAATGTGCTGTAAATTAGCAAACATAAATATCTCGTAAATCCACAGGTACTTGGGGGATATCCCAAGTATTGCCCCCCACTCTTTTCCAATTTCATACCCCCCCCCCACACACACACACACTTGAAAAGTGGGAGGGTATAGTGATCGGGATGTCCGTCCGTTACACTTTGGATATCCATCTCTTATCCGCAACTCCTCTCATACCACTGAATAATTAAAATTTAATGAGACTTTCACAGATTCTTTCATACATAATGAAAATAAGGCACCTTCTAGTTTACTTTTTGATCTGAGGCTTTTATTTTGGGTTTATTCTTTATTGAGCTTCGTGAATTGCAGATAAGAGATGGGTACCCAAAAGTGTAACAGACAGAAGTACATCCTGATCACTATATAGTATGTACCCTCCCTCTTTTCAAGCGGGGGAGGGGAGTTTATAAAAATGTTAATGTAAAAATACTTTGCCTTGTTAGCCATCAAATTGGTCATTTCTTTCCATAATCCTCTAACACTACAGAACACCTTAATTCCTTCATCAATGAATAAAAAGTCTGTAAAACAGTTGGTCATATGTGTTTCCATCTTTGTGATATTTAATAATTTGTATCTCAGAAGTATTTTACTAACAAAGGCAATTTTCATTAGCTGACAGAAAATACAAAGATCAAAATAAACTAACTTTGTAATGGGAGAATCCAAATCTCCAGAAAAATAGCATGAAAACTTTCTCTGAATGTGCTGATATCCTCAATCAACCAATAGTTCAATTTAATTTCAATTGACAAAACCTGGGAGTGCTGCAAGCACCTGGAGTAATCTCACCCTCTCTCAACAATATATAGTTTATATATAATAAATGTGTCTTATTGAAAAACTTTATTAGAAAAAATTATGAAAGAAAAAAAATTAAATATTACATGATGTTATCACTATAAATACATAATGTTTCAAGCATTAATATTTTTTGGGATTTGAGCTCTACAAAAAGTTATACGAGCAGTATATGTTTCTCAAACAGTGGCCTGCTTAAGTAGTCTCCCTTTAATAAGATATCTGACCTGACATATTACTCACAACATTTTATATTTCTTAAAAGATTATTTTTTAATTGCATTAATTGGTCAATCAATGTTGAATAAATGTAGAACTTTTCCACTGTTTCTCACAAAAATGTTTGCTACTTTGTGTCCATCACATCAGTTTGCCAAGAATATCCATCATTATTAATCAATCCAAGTTTGTTCGCTATCAGTTTGTATCCATCACATCAGTTATCCAAGAATATATCCACCGTTATTACCTGGTAATCAATCCAAGATTGTTAGCTAGTTTGTGTCCATCACTGGAGTTGTCAAAGAATATATCCACCGTTATGAATCAATCCAAGTTTGTTAGCTAGTAGTTTGTGTTCATCTGACACTAAAGTTACCTGTACGAAAGTTCGAGGCGGAATAGGCACGGCTTGGGCACGGCTAAGACACGGAATCCGCACGGGTTTTTAAAAAGACGCACGGGTTCTGCATGTCCAAGACACGGACACGGCTTCCGTGTCTGAAAGTTAGGAATTCTCACTCACAGAAACCCGTGTGGAGGTACGGAATCCGTGTCCCAGGGAGACGGTTTTTAACTCAGGCGGGTTTTGCTTCAAACTATTTATTTATATCTCACGGCTTTTTACTGAGCATGCTCAATCATAACTTCCTTTATTTGAATATTAAATTGGAGGGATTCATGGTCATGAGCCAAGTCAATGTGTCTTTTTGCTCTATTTAAAGGATATTTAACTAATAGATGTCAGTTGGAGTTGTATTTATGTCAGTCTGGGATAATTTCTTCACTTTTGAACTAAATGCAGTAAGTGTAATATAGAATAAATAAGTCAATTTTTCAATTTTCATGATCTTTCTGTATTGCAATGTTGACAATGAACATGATGAAATAGTTTAGGTTTATTTGAATGACTTTAGTTGGACTTTCACTAATCATATATAGTATATTTTATGTGACATCACTCTGCTTAGGTGAAAGTTTTATTTATTAAACTAAATTCTTTCTCAGATAATGTGCAAACTTAGCTTCTAGATTAAATTACAATTGAATATTGTACATTATCATTAAAATCTTAATTAAAAACTAGCATGGATTGTAACTGATAAAGTTAATCTTTAACAGAAAGTAAACACATTCATATAAGATTTTTAACTTTTGAAATTCTAAAACTAAGCATTAATGTAAAGCAACGTGAAGTTAGTTTGGTTTCAGTCACCATTTTGGCATCCACAGTTAATACATCAGGAGATTCTCTAAAAGCCATGACCTAGATCTAAACAAATGCACAGATCCCGTGACTCCTTATATGGTATACGGCACGGCTTTTTTGACACGGGTTTCCAAAAAACCGTGTTTCCATATATGGAAAAGGACACGGGTTTCAGACACGGGTTTACAGAATCCGTGAGTCCATATATGGAAACTAGCACGGCTTTCTGGCACGGGTTTTGGAAAACCATGCCATCTCATTTAAATATTTCGGCCAATATCCCGTGCCGTGTCCGTGCCTCGACCACTTTTAGGCACGGCTTTCCTTACATACTTTACATAGGAGCACGGAATGCTAAAGCACGGGTTTCTGGAGACGGAATCCGTGCCTGAGCCGTGTCCAAGCCGCCCGGACTGTTTCGTACGGGTATCCAAGAATATTTCCACCGTTATTAATCAATCCAAGTTTGTTAGCTAGTTTGTGTCCATCACTGAAGTTATCCAAGAATATATCAACCATTATTTAATCAATCCAAGTTTGTTAGCTAGTTTGTGTCCATCACTGGAGTTATGCAATAATATACATCATCATTAATCAATCCAAGTGTGAAAGTCATTACACATGGAAAAATGGCTCCTCTTCCCAAAGATTGGCATACGTTGGAACTCCTGAAGTTATTATAATGGATGAAAGCTAAAGAAAACGAAATATTTAAATGTACTTTTGACAAAATACTTTTTTTTTAATCTCACATATATGCAGACTGAAATCAAGCATGAAATACATGTATATATGTTCAAAATTAAATATTTTGTCCACATTGGAGTAATTTTTTCACATGACTCACTTGTAAAACGTACACCTACCCTAGGGGTCATGATTTGAACAGATTTAAATCTAAAATCTGTTCTTTAATAGAGAAATTTTTTCCGAGATATATTTCTACCAGGTATATGAAATTTTGATTGTGGCCTCCAATCCCCAGCAAAACCACCTTTGTATGATTTGATCAAACTTGAATGTAAATTTCACAGTGGATTGAATCTTATTCACGTAAATTTGAGTGGCTTAATTGTTGAGAGAGACGTTTAAGACAACTAAAAGTTGATAAAAATTGAATAAAATTTACAAAAAAATGTCTTTTACCAATTATATTTTTTATATCCTAATGCATCAAAATTTATTTTTTGTCCCTAAGGGATGAAAAATAGGAGAAAAATCTTCATGACAAGCATAATATAATATAGGAACCACCAGGAAACTCAAGCAGTGAGATGAAGATTCTACGACTCGGGCCAAGTGCGGTCCTGGGCCTGTAGACTCCTAGATGGAAGCTGTGTTAGATGCCTCACACTAACAAGAAGCCCATGGGCCACATTGCTCACCTGAGTAACTGTGGCCATGCTTTTTTTTTTACTATATTCCACCTTGTAATACCTTTTATGACCCCACCCTACCCCTGGTGTCATGATTTTAAGAATTTAGAATCTACATTGTTCCAGATTGCTTCAACATACTTTTCAAAAAGATTTTTCAATAAAATTAGATTCAAAACTTCGATTCTCTATTGTAGCCATGTCTACACCATGGGTTCATGATTTGAAGAATTTAAGAAGATCTTAAGGACGTTCTAAACACTAACAGAAACTGTTTTTTG